CAGTACACACCCCGCCCCCTAGTAAAACACTCCCCCTCACACAGATAACCCTTCCCTGAAAAATAAACTTAACCCCTTCCTCCCCAGTGCCATTAGTACAGTGTCAGTGTTTTTTTTTTTTGCACTGATCACTGTATTGGTGTCACTGGGGATGTCAGTGACCCAAAGTCAGTTCCCCCCCAGTGTCAGAATGTCCGCCACAGTCCCGCCATAAGTCGCTGATAGCCGCCATAAGTCCCTGATCGCCGCCATAAGTCCCTGATCGCCGCCATTATTAGTCTAAAAAAACCCTAAAAATCCCAGTATCTTTCCCGCCATTTGTAAACGCTATAACTTTCACGTAAACCAATTAATTTACACGTATTGGGTTTTTTTTTTTAGCAAAGACATGTCGCAGAATGCATTTTGGCAGAAATTTATGACTAAATTTGATTTTAACATTTTTTTTTTACTGGACATGTTTTATAGCAAAAAGTTCAAAATATTGTTTTTTTTCCTCAAAATTGTCAGCCTTTTTTTTTATAGCGCAAAAAATAAAAACCGCACAGGCGATCAAATACCACCGAAAGAAATCTCAAGTTGTGGGGAAAAAAAGGATGTAAATTTCATTTATGTACCGTATTGCATGACCGCGCAATTGTCCATTAAACTAGCGCAGCGCTGTATAGCAAAAAAATGGCGTAAATTGCAGTATCTATACCATAGTTTGTAGACGCTATAACTCCCACACAAAGCAATCAATATACACTTATTGGGATTTTTTTTTACCAAAAACATGGAGCAGAATACATTTTGGCCTAAATTTATAACCAACTTTGAGTTTACTATATATTTTTTATAGCTGAAAGTAAAAAATATTGTTTTTCTTCAAAATTTTTGGCCTTTTTTTGTTTATAGCGTGAAAAATAAAAAGCGCACAGGTGATCAAATACCACTGAAAGAAAGCTCTATTTGTGTGAAAAAAGGACCTAAATTTCGTTTGGGTGCAGAGTTGCATGACCGCGCAATTATCAGTTGAATTAGTGCAGCGCCGAGTAGCAAAAAGAGGCCAGGTCATTAAGGGGGGTAAATCCTCTGGAGGTCAAGTGGTTAATGACACCCCAAATGCAGCGTGTTCCTGCAATTCCCGTGTGGGCATGGTATGAACCAGCCCTAAGGCTTTAGAACCACTTTAAAAGGTACAGTCAGGTCCATAAATATTGGGACATCTACACAATTCTAACATTTCTGGCTCTATACACCACCACAATGGATCTGAAATGAAACAAACAAGATGTGCTTTAACTGCAGACTGTCAGCTTTAATGTGAGGGTATTTATATCCAAATCAGGTGAACAGTGTAGGAATTACAACAGTTTGCATATGTGCCTCCCACTTGTTAAGGGACCAAAAGTAATGGGACAGAATAATAATCATAAATCAAACTTTCACTTTTTAATACCTGGTTGCAAATGCTTTGCAGTCAATTACAGCCTGAAGTCTGGAACGCATAGACATCACCAGACGCTGAGTTTCATCCCTGGTGATGCTCTGCCAGGCCTCTACTGCAACTGTCTTCAGTTCCTGCTTGTTCTTGGAGCATTTTCCCTTCAGTTTTGTCTTCAGCAAGTGAAATGCATGCTCAATCGGATTCAGGTCAGGTGATTGACTTGGCCATTGCATAACATTCCACTTCTGTCCCTTAAAAAACTCTTTGGTTGCTTTTGCAGTATGCTTTGGGTCATTGTCCATCTGCACTGTGAAGCGGCGTCCAATGAGTTGTGAAGCATTTGGCTGAATATGAGCAGATAATATTGCCTGAAACACTTCAGAATTCATCCTGCTGCTTTTGTCAGCAGTCACATCATCAATAAATACAAGAGAACCAGTTCCATTGGCAGCCATACATGCCCACGCCATGACACTACCACCACCATGCTTCACTGATGAGGTGGTATGCTTAGGATCATGAGCAGTTCCTTTCCTTCTCCATATTCTTCTCTTCCCATCACTCTGGTACAAGTTGATCTTGGTCTCATCTGTCCATAGGATGTTGTTCCAGAACTGTGAAGGCTTTTTTAGATGTCGTTTGGCAAACTCTAATCTGGCCTTCCTGTTTTTGAGGCTCACCAATGGTTTACATCTTGTGGTGCACCCTCTGTATTCACTCTGGTGAAGTCTTCTCTTGATTGTTGACTTTGACACACATACCCCTACCTCCTGGAGTGTGTTTTTGATCTGGCCAACTGTTGTGAAGGGTGTTTTCTTCACCAGGGAAAGAATTCTTCAGTCATCCACCACAGTTGTTTTCCGTGGTCTTTCGGGTCTTTTGGTGTTGCTGAGCTCACCGGTGCGTTCCTTCTTTTTAAGAATGTTCCAAACAGTTGTTTTGGCCACACCTAATGTTTTTGCTATCTCTCTGATGGGGTTGTTTTGTTTTTTCAGCCTAATGATGGCTTGCTTCACTGATAGTGACAGCTCTTTGGATCTCATCTTGAGAGTTGACAGCAACAGATTCCAAATGCAAATAGCACACTTGAAATGAACTCTGGACCTTTTATCTGCTCATTGTAATTGGGATAATGAAGGAATAACACACACCTGGCCATGGAACAGATGAGAAGCCAATTGTCCCATTACTTTTCGTCCCTTAACAAGTGGGAGGCACATATGCAAACTGTTGTAATTCCTACACCGTTCACCTGATTTGGTTAAAAAAAGGGGAAGAAAAGCGGAAGAAAATTGCATCCCTTTAAATGATTCATGTGTGCTAGCGGGGAGGGGAGGTAATCGCCTTGTCAGAATACAAATGCACACTGGTACAGATCGATGCACTAACATCGCATAGTTAGTAAGGTGACCGCCTATGGCGCTCTTCACACTGATCCGCTCGCTTCAGTTGCGGTGCAAAAAATCCTGCTTATTGTATTTTTAGTGCACGCTTGTTCCGTTAAAAAAAATTCCATTGAAATGAATGGAAACTGCCTAAAAAACGCAATGCCCCTGTGGGTAGTGGGGAAAAAAAAACGCAACTCAAATGCATCAAAAACTAAATGAAGCAAAAAGTGTTTAACCCCTGGTTCACATCTGTGTGGGTGGTGCAGCTGCGGGACCCACACAAATGCCTGCAGCTTCTCCACCCACACAGAGGAATGCGGGACCCACACAAATGCCTGCAGCTACACCACCTACACAGAGGAATGCGGGACCCGCACAAATACCTGCAGCCGCGCCACCCACACAGGAATGCGGGACCCGCACAAATACCTGCAGCCGTGCCACCCACACACGAATGTGGGACCCGCACAAATACCTGCAGCCGCGCCACCCACACAGGAATGCGGGACCCGCACAAATACCTGCAGCCGCGCCACCCACACAGAGGAATGCGGGACCCGCACAAATACCTGCAGCCTCTCCACCCACCCAGAGGAATGCGGGACCCTCACTAATGCCTGTAGCTGCACCACCCACACAGAGGAATGCGGGACCCGCACAAATGCCTGTAGCTGCACCACCCACACAGAGGAATGCGGGACCCGCACAAATACCTGCAGCCTCTCCACCCACCCAGAGGAATGCGGGACCCGCACAAATGCCTGCAGCTGCACCACCCACACAGAGGAATGCGGGACCCGCACAAATGCCTGTAGCTGCACCACCCACACGGAGGAATGCGGGACCCGCACAAATGCCTGCAACTGCACCACCCACACGGAGGAATGCGGGACCCGCACAAATACCTGCAGCTGCACCACCCACACAAAGGAATGCGGGACCCACACAAGTACCTGCAGCTGCACCACCCACACAGCGGAATGCGGGGCCCGCACAAATACCTGCAGCTGCACCACCCACACAAAGGAATGCGGGACCCGCACAAGTACCTGCAGCTGCACCACCCACACAGCGGAATGCGGGACCCGCACAAATACCTGCAGCTGCACCACCCACACAGAGGAATGCGGGACCCGCACAAGTACCTGCAGCTGCACCGCCCACACAGAGGAATGCGGGACCCGCACAAGTACCTGCAGCTGCACCACCCACACAAAGGAATGCGGGACCCGCACAAATACCTGCAGCTGCACCACCCGCACAGAGGAATGCGGGACCCGCACAAATACCTGCAGCTGCACCACGCACACAGAGGAATGCGGGACCTGCACAAATACCTGCAGCCGCAGCACCCACACAGAGGAATGTGTGACCCACAGGAGGGTGCCATTAATTCTAATGGCACGCCGCCCGCCCTGGAAATCGCAACTGTACTAGGAACCTCGGTTCACGTGCGGGCAGCAATTTCCCAAATAGTACTGGGACTTCTTCCCTGCGTGTCCCGGGGTATGGGAGTCCATTCAAATGAATGGGCTCTTGTGCCCGTCCAAATCGCAGCCCACACAATATAGGTATAGGATTATAACTTTTTTTTTATGGTTGAAGTGGATGTCTTTTATCTTTTTTCAGCCAGACTAACTACGTAACTATGTAACAATCGCACAGATGTGATCCAAGGGTTAATTTCTTTTTTCTTTTTTAGTGGAGCAGTGTGAAAGCGGTAATAGTTATAATTTAAACCAGAAGATTGTCCATTGCCCTTTCTTCTGTATACTGTGGATGTTCTTTGTATAAATCAGCAGGTTTATTGTATGATCTTCTCTGTAAACACTGATGAACGACAAGAGGTTGGATATCGTTGGATTTTTTTTTCTTTGACTCGCCTTCAAGATACTCTTCTTATGTTTACAAGACAAAAAAAATCTTTGAATTTTGTATTCTATTTTCTCACTGTTCACATACATATGAGGCCATGCGATCAGCGGAGTGCTGATGCTAGGCTATGTACAGACAGCACTGTATAGCGGTGATCCTCAGTCCTCCACTATTCCCCACCACCAGAGGGGGCAGTAACTACAGCACAACACCACTGAGAGTCTGCAGAGGCTCGCCGACCCGGAAGTCATGTGCACAGTCTAATGTCCTTGATTTCCGGCTAAGTACGACACTTCCGGGTTATCAAGATGGCAGCGTCCTGTAATGAAAGCACGGGGACTCCGCTTAGATCTCCCGTGGGGACACCGGGGAAGGTCCGAGAGCTGATCAACGAGGGGATAGTGAGCGAGGAGCGCTGCAGTGATAGCAGGTGAGCCGGGGGTGTCTCTTATTTCCTGCATTCCACTCTTCTAGTACATTAGGATTGTACAGTGGCTAGATGGTTAGCACTTCCGCCTGGCAGTACTAGGGTCGTTGGTTCGAATCCAACCCAACCACGGCACCACCTGCCTGGAGTTTGCATGTTCTCCCTGTGCCTGAGTTTCCTCTGGGTACTCTGGTTTCCTCCCACACTCCAAAAAACATGCTGATAGGTTAATTGGCTCCTGTCTAAATTGGCCTTAGTATGTGTATGAATGTAAGTTAGGGACCTTAGATTGTACACCCCTTGAGGGTTAGGGACTGATGTGAATGTACTATATATATCACTGTGTAAATTGATGGCGCTATGTAAGTACCTGTAATAAATAATAATACAGAGCAGAGCAGGGAATGCTTACATCCTCTGTCAGGGTTTATTACTCTACAAGTCCCTGTTGGGGGGGGGGGGGAGAGATACCTCAGGGGCTGCCACTGTTTCAGCCACAGAAGAGTGAATGAATTGTGTCATAGTGGTTGGTGTGTGTGCTATAGGCCTCATTCACATAGGCGTCCTTAAGTACACACCTGTTAGGGCTGTGTATTGCCCGTGTACAGATGTGCAGTTCCATTCATTTCAATTGGTTGCTGCTTCCAATTTGACATCGGTGGAGGTGCAGGTCATTGAACTCTGGATTCGGGGACCTGCACCCACTAACAAGAGAAATGGGGGTGGCAGCTGTGTCTATGCAATCGCTGTGTCCAAGTTAACATGAATGGGATTGTCTATATGTGGATACACCGAACATCTGTGCATCTCTGAGCGTGCACTCATTGGTGTACACTTAAAGTCCAACTCTGGGCAAAAAAGTTTTCCCATGCAGTCAGGCTTTGCAAGTATAACTTTTTTTTTTTTTTTTGCCTTTACTCTAACACAGCTATGTGCATAGAACTTTAAAGCCTACCCTCCCAGCTTATCATTTCATAAATGTGATGGCTACATTCATATACATTTTTTAGGCTTTCTTACTGCTATTTTCATTGGATGATCCAGCCAGTAAATCTGTTGTTTTTTTTTTTTAAAGAACAGCCTCTCCAGCAGAATGTAGCAGTTACAGAGATGACACAAACCATTTAACACTAGCAGGGGTGCTTTTATTAAGCTTTTATTTATGTTAAACCTTTATCCCTAAAAGAAAGGAATGTTTGCTCTAACTGCCTGTGTAGCTGCAATGTGAGCTTGCGTTTGGCTTGAATTTGTTAGTGTATTTAAATCAACTCTTCTAACACTCCCAGCTGACAATGCTGCTATCCAAAGGTGGCTCCTGTTCTCCTTCATCCAGAGTGTAGGCACTGTAATACAGGAGGTGTGTTACTGGCCAGATCACTAAGTGAAAACAAAAAGAAGAAAGCCTAAGAAAAGAAAACTGATGCAGCCGCCACATCTTATGAATGGTAAGCTGCAATATATTACATTTTCAGTTTTGGGTTTAGTACTGTTTCGAGATCTCCCTGAAAAGCAAAACATATGAAAACAAGCTTTGGAGAAATCAATCATTTTAAATCTGCAATAAGATTACAGCCAATCGCGATAAGAGCCAGTTTGCACCATGGCGCTTTTTGCCACAATACACGCATGTTAATGTGTTAAACAGCTCATTCAGAAATGGCCTGAAACACACAGCAATGTGTGTGAAATTGGAGCCTTTGTTTTTCCCTGCACAACATGCTGGACACCCTGCTTGCATTTTTAAGGTGTGCTGGGGTGCTGTTAGGTGAGTGTCACCACAGTGCACTAGAGTAAGTAAATGTACACTGGTGTGAATGAGCTCTAAAAATGTGGTGGAATGCATTCATAAAGCATTAAGTGAACAATTGAAGGCAGTTTTGGGACAAGGTCTTTTAACACCCACTCATGAGCTGTGAATTATTTGGGCAGCATAGGTTACAGGTCCTGCTCTTATGCCCTACTGGAGTGCCCCAGGTGCCTGCTTCTTCTGCCTACCCCTTGGCTCAGTCCTGATTGCAGGTTTGCTGGAACAAGGACATGTTTTTGGTCTTCACATAGGCACTAATCAAAATACATTGTAGCAGTTGTAATTAGTGTAACAATATTGTTAAATGATGAATCAAGCCCCCTCCTAAACTTAGGCACACAGGAACCGCTGTGAGTGCTCCTGAAACACAGCGAGACTCGGCTATCAAAGTGACAGTTGATCCTGTAATAATGCCATGCACAGCAGCAGAGGGAACCCCATTTGCAGTGCATAGAGGCCAGACCTGAAATTCTGCACAACAATTCATGAACCAGAGTAATTCTAGAAAATTTCTAGCCTGTCCGGTTCAAAATTCGGCAGATGGCAACCCTTTTTTCCCCCCTCACTTTCTCAGGATAGGAATATTGGAATTTTCTCCATTGGGATACAGAAAAATAGATGCTTATTAGAACAAAGAAGAGTAGTGTCTAAATATCTCTAACTTCCTGTCCTGGTGAGATAGGATGTGAGAGACAATCTCACAAATGAGATCACAGACAGAAATAAAAACCTGACAGAAATGTTATCACTTATTCACTGTTCAAAAATTAAAAAATATAGTTTGGGTATGTGAGCAGCTCTTAAAGGGTAACTCCACTTTTATGGGGAAAAGAAAAACTAAAAAAAAAAAAAAATATAGAGCATATGCAATTGCTTTGCAAGTCATTTTGTAATTTAATGTTACTAAATATTACCTTTCCTTTTCAGTCTGCAGCACTGTAATTTTCTGTTAATTTCAGCACAATATGGCAATATCTCCAGATGGGTGAGGAACTTCTCCACAGTTGGTGAGGAACGCCTTCAGTGTGATTGACTCACTGATTTTTTTTCAGAAGGCGGCACTAGGATACAAGTCAGATTATAGACATACTTCCAAAGGGATAATTACTTCTTAAGGAATACAGACCCTGCATTCTCCTCATTAGAACACTGTAAGGGCGTCACCTGAACAAACCGCTTTTTCTTCAGAGTAGAAATGAGTAGGAATCTGCAACAAAGTTTGTTAAAATCCTTGCAATGTATATTGATAGGGGATTTTTTTTTTTCTCTCAACAAAAGTGGAGTTACTCTTCAAATAGAAATGAATCACTACTGGTCTTGTTAGTGACATTACTGGACTTGTTATTAAGGTATTTCACAAGTGTAATATTTTTATATAGATAGATTTTGTTTCTTGCTTATATAGTCTCCACTGCTTTATTCCCCCCCTCTTTTAAGGAAGGACAACAGTTTCTCGTCGGATGGAAACCACAGCTTTGATGCTTCAGCTGATGTTGACACTTTGGAAGCTACAAGCAAAGAAGCTTTTTTCACCAGGGTGGAATCCTTCTCTATATCCTTTTGATACATCACATTACAAGTAGCACTGGAATAAACCCTAATAACAGTATTGAGATATTGAGCATAGTCCTCTAGTATCCTCAGGATTTATTTCCTCCAGCCTTACAGGAACATCAGAGGTTTTTTTGCTTTTATCTTTCAGGCCTTTGTGCTAGTTGTGGGGGCCTACTAGTAAATGCTCCCCTATGATTTCTAGGATAGAGGACCTGGAGGGGTCACTTATCTTGGCTTCTTTTGTTAAGCCGGTCATAGATCCATCTAAGGGCAGGCTGATTGCACCCATGTTGATTCATCGATCTTTGTGGGTACTGCCAGCGTGTCGGATTTTTAGAATGCTATTATAGCCGCTAGCAATAATCATTGTGTTCTCCCAAAAGTGACGACTCGCCTGCCAGAAGAACACAATACCTCCGCAGGAGTGATTCGTTTATCAACACTGACTGTGATGATGGGGGAATCGAGAAATATTCTTCCTGCAACCCATGGTAGTTTTCTGCATATATGGGGGAAAAAAAAGAAAATATTTAATATATTGGTTACTGCACCATTTATACTACTAGTGATATATTCCTTAATTTAAGAACTCTCTGAAATGGGCTGGGAAACCTTCAGAGTTATGTCCTCTAGCTTGTGCCAAGTATGGATGGACAAACATTGAATGTGATATGCTGAAGTGTTGTAGCTGTAATGCCTACCTGTGTGCCAGGCTGCAGCCAGCCTTGGATATCAATAAGTGTAAGTATTTTTTGTATATTGTGTGTACCCATATTGGACCAAAAGATCAAAATGTAATGTAAATATTTTGCACAAGAGGGAAACCTTAGCTGTACCATGTAAATGATTCTTTTTTTTTTTAATTATTGCTGCATTGGTAATTCTTATCCATTCATCATGTGTGTGCATAGATAGTGTGGGAAACTCCATTTTTTTATTTTAACTCTCCAGGCTCCTTTTATTTACACTAAGCTGTTGTGGAATCCATGAATGGCAGCTGAATAAGCAGGGCAGGGATTGGTCACACTAACAAACCTACACAAAACTGCACTAAAAACACGTGTATGTGCATTTTACATGCATTTTTGGTGTGTTTCCATTGAAGTCTATAGGGCCAAAATCGCACTGCACCAGCACCAAAGTAGCACCTGTGCTACACTGATGTGAACAGACCATTGAAAATAATGTGATTTCCATTATGCTGTGCTGCAGAACAGCAGCTGTATTTGAAACCACTCATGTGAAAGAGGGCTAAAACTATACTATTATATTGGTAATTATCTAACCTGCTTTCTAATTCTAAGAGGATTCTTCTTTTATTGACTAGTGAGTTATGTTTAAAGTGTTTCTAAACTCAGGACCCTGAATTCACTCTATCTGCCTCCCACAGTACACAGAACATACAAATGCAATTATTTTAGTAAATATAAACTGCTAAATACCTTTTCTCATCAGCAGTTAGAGCAGTCTTGTGACCTCTGTTAGTGTTCAGCTGAGCACTGGTTAAAGCTTGTAGGAGTTTTCATTCTCTCTCACTGCCCTGTGAGATTGCATAACCGCTGACCCTATGTCTGGAAAGTTTTGATTGGCCCTGTGCTGATCACATGCACTCTCCCCCAAAAAAGGAAAAAACTCTCTAGCAGTACACACCAAATTGAGCATGTTCAGAGTGTCCTTTAGGCTCTGTTCTGTCAGGAGGTGAAATGGGGAACGTGGAAGAAGGGGAGGATCAAAGAAGACCAGATCAAACATCCTTTTTACACTATGCAGAGGATTAACCCCTTGTGAGTATAACAAGCATGCTTTACTGCATATACAGACTGATTCTACTGTCGTGGGTTTAGTAGCACTTTAATTCCACTGGATAGCCCAACAGGCAAACATTCAGTTTAAATCTGCACAGAAAATCTAAAAGTATTATTTCTCATAACATCTTTCAGGACAGCACTTGAGAGATCAAAGCTTCTCCCACCAGACACAGGAAACACTTCAATTTTGAGAGGAGGCTTCTCATCATAGATCCTTAGATTTCATGTTTCTTCTGGCTAGGCTGGAACACTTGGGAACTGTGGGGAAGCTAGGAAGGGCTGCCCTGGAAGGGTTTTCTGCCTTTACAGATTTTTCTTCAGGGTTCTCCCAGCATCCCCTCATTATGGGTAGGAGATGTTCTGGCTCATTCTCCTTTTTCCATGCTCTGAAGAGCCTGTACTGCCCGGTGGTCTGTCTCTGTTTTTGCTCAGAAGCACCACTGCTTGTATTGCTTGCTCGGCAGCAGCACCATGTTTCTGGTGGCTGAGGAGCATCCTCAGCTTCCACAGGCAGCATTCATGTCATTTCTAGAAGGAACAGGGCTTCCAGGTCATATGTGCAGCATCCATTCCAGCTGCAAGGATACAGAGGGGGGATGAAGAACCCGGATGGTGCCTATTTCCAGTTCTAGTCTGGCGCAGAGGCCTGGGGGGGTTTGTGGGTAGTGTCCCAGGGAATTAGTCTGCACTAGAGAAGACCTTAGGCTCTTAAATTACCTGGATCTCGCTCCTGTTAACTAGGTTGAGGACTCCAGAGGCTCCTTTTTTTTTGTCCCTTCCAGGGGACATGCCGATTGACTGGAGTGGGGGGGGGGGGGGGCTTAAGCTGCCCTTCTATCCTGGCTTCTCTGTGACTGGTCTGTGTGATGCCTCTCCCGGGTCCTTCCAAGATGGCCGAGGTGCGTCACTTCAGGCAGTGGCTGAAGGGTGTACCAAGATGGCGGTGCTGGCACTTGCAGCCATTGGGAGGACCCCGAGGTGCCATTTTTAAATAAGGAGGTGCTGTACTATTGACAGACAGAGCATTGGACCTGGTGGAAAGTGGCTGTGGCCACAGAAGTCCTGAATTGGGCAGTGCAGAGGCCCTCATCTTTTTCAAATATGCAGGAGGGTGAAGGTGCGGAGCCGAAATCGGATGTCCCCAAGCCTAGGATGGCAAGTCAGCTAGGCACCACCTCTGAAGGATCCAGAGCCCTGGTTTCTGAGGTAGGGTTCTCTGGTACCCCGTAGTAGAGGAAGGGTGAGGGGGGAGGTGGTAGGAGAGATGAGGATGGATGGTATATTGTTGTTCTCTTTCCCCCCTCTGTCCTCTCCCTTTTCCCCCTAGGACTCTCACAATTCAAAAAAGATGTGGGAGCTGTGGCTCCAGGCTCACAGATTCCTACACAAAAAAGATTTTTGAAAAATGTACTTTATCTGTGGCAGGTTCTGACTCAGTCTCCTTCATCAAAAATTTAATGCGATCCATGCGGGAAGAAATGATCTCCACTTTGCGTTCAGTCGGATCTGTAGTATCTGATGAAACTTCTACATCACAAGCTGCTTCCCTTGTGAATGCGATCCTGTCATTCTCCCTTCTGTAGATGCAAATATTTCTTCCTCTGATTCAGAGGAAGAAGGGAAATCCCCTCGTTCTTCAGGGGAAGTGAGTCTGGAGGGAGAAGGAGATGCTAGGAAAAATTATTCTAGCGGGTTTCTCTTCCCTGTAGAGAAGACAGATCAGTTATTAAAAACGATTTATATGTCAGAACAGATTGAGGAGGAAATCCCCCTCAATCTGTCCAGAATATGATGTATAGAGGTCTTCAGGAAAGAAAGAATAGAATGTTTCCAGTACACCAATCCCTTAGAGAAATGCTCCAGAAAAGAAGTTGTTCCTTTCCAGAGGACATAAGCAGAGATTTCCGTTTAGCTCAGAGGAAGAGATCTTCTTTAAATGTCCTAGGTTGAATGCCCCTTTTTCACAAGTCTCCAAAGATGCTGATTTGTCCTTTGAAGATGCTGGAGTTATTAAAGACCAGATGGATAGATAGATCGGTTGGGGGCTTCTGGAGGTGGATTTGTTTGCGTCCGGCAGAAACAGGAAAGTCCAGAACTTCTTTTCCCTGGAAAGAGAGTCTCACGCCTTAGGGACAGATGCTTTAACGCAGGTGTGGGACCTCAGTCTAGCCCAGCAATGGGCAAACTACGGCCCGCGGGCCGTATACAGCCCGGCGGACCTTTTAATCCGGCCCGCGGAGCTAGGCTCCCGCTAGGCTCCTCTCACAGTCCGCCCTGAAGACCGGTGCAGCGTGAAAACCTGTCTCCTGTGAGGATCTGTCCCCCTCGACGTATCTGCGCATGTGCCAGTTTCAGGCATTAGCAGCAGATACGTCGAGGGGGACAGATCCTCACAGGAGACAGGTTTTCATGCTGCACCGGAACGGCGCGGGAATACGGCGAGAGGAACGCGCGGAGCAAAGGTAAGTGAATTGACACAGGGGGGACTTGGGGACTTAATATGGGGGATGAATTACTATAGGGGGGATGAATTACTATATGGGGGATGAATTACTATATGGGGGACGAATTACTATATGGGGGATGAATTACTATATGGGGGAGATGGGGGCCAACGAATTACTATGGGGGACGAATTACTATATGGGGGACGAATTACTATAGGGGGGATGAATTACTATATGGGGGATTAATTACTCTGCTTACTATGGGGGAATATTACTATACTTACTATGGATGACACATACACATCATTCATCTACTCTTGGTTCGGCCCCCGGGTCCAATATATGAACCCATTGCGGCCCTCAAGTCAAAAAGTTTGCCCACCCCTGGTCTAGCCTATGCTTTTCCTCCTCTATCAATTCTTCTCAAGTTGTTTGGAAGATTGCCTTGGAGGACTGCCAAGTAATTCTCAAAACTCTGTATTGGCTCAAGAGTAGTTGGTTAAAGAGACTTTTAGCCCTGTCCATCTTCCCTGCCTGGATTCTTCCAGATCATCCGGATTTACTCTTCCAAGGACCACTTCTCCATCCCAACCCTCATCGCTGACAGCCTGGAGGCTGAAAGGTGGATCCTAAGTTCCAAGGGATGCTAAGAGAAGGAAACACAGACCCTTCTAAGCAGTAAGATGTTCTGCACCAGAAAGATTATGTGAAGGTTTGGAGAACTTTTCATTCTTGGAGATCTACATCGGGAGGGTTAGAAATCTCCTATACCGTAGTATTAGGCTTTTTACAGGCTGGGGTGGATAAGGGCATGGCGGTCAATACCTTAAAAGTACAGGTGGCAGCCTTGTCTATATTTTTGGACCAGAGATTGGCAGAGGATCTTCTTGTTAGGAGATTTTTATTGGCTAGGGATTGGCAGACCCTTAGGGTGCTTAAGATAGTTCCTCTGTGGGATCTGTCTCTAGTCTTGGATGCTCTCACTAAGGCTCCGTTTGAGCCTTTATCAGATTGTTCTTTAAAGCATCTTTCCAGTAAAATGGCCTTCTTGCTGGCTATCACACCAGCCAGAAGAGTGCAGGACTCAGTCATTTTTTTTTCAAGAATCCTTACCTGACCTTTTTGGAGGACAGGGTGGTTTTGAGACCCAATCCTATGTACCTTCCTAAGATTTCTTCAGATTTTCACCATTCCCAGGTAGTTACTTTGCCTTCCTTCTGCAGTTCCTCCCAAAATGAGAGAAATGTTGTATAGTTTTTAGGATATTAGATGTTTGTTAGAATATTTGAGAGTAGCCAGAGATTTTAGAAGATCTATTCATCTTCTGGTTCTTTTCAGTGGCCCCAGGAAAGGTCTTTGTGCTTCAAAATGTTCTATTGCCAGATGGATTAATGAAACTGTTTTGTGTGTGTACAAGAGCTTGGGCCAACAGCCTTCTTCTAGAGTGTGTGCACATTCTACAAGAGCCTTTGCAGCCTCCTGAGCGAAGAGGGCAGGTGCTTCATGGGAAGACCTCTCCAGAGCAGCAGTTTGGTCAAATAATCATACTTTTGTTAAACACTACTGTGTGGAACTTCTTTCTAACCAGGACTTGGCCTTTGGAAGGAAGCTTCTACAGGCAGTGGTCCGTCCCTCAGGTAGGAATATTATAACATTCTAATTCACATTCTAGGGATCATTTAGACAGAAAGCAAAGACGCTGCCACCAGCACATCTATGTTAGGGTAGCCACCCAGGGAGATCATGCAAATTCATTGCTGTGGTTGGGATTCAAACCGACAACCCTAGCACTGTGAGGCAGCAGTGCTAACCACTAATCCACGGAGCTGCTGAACACTAATCCAGCCTGTATTTCTGTGGTGTGAATCAACCCTAAGTCCCTGGGCAAGGTTGGACAGTTTACGTGTGGTCCTACTAAGATGAAGTTGATTGCAAGGACACATCAACAAAGCACTTAATCCCCCGGGATCCCCAGGTGACCATCCCAGGGCCCAGAGGAGAGAAATTTAAAAGCAGATCCCAACCGTAGCCAGCTTTAAAAGAGACCTCTAGAAGGGCCTTTCCATCACCATTATCCACAGAAGAGGTTCCAGGCTACATCCTTCACAGGACAGAGGGGACCTCTGGTGTATTTGTTGTAAATGCGCATTTATATTGCGCCTCTGGTGAGTGTGCAATTTTACTGATTTCCCTGCCCGTCACTGGTCACATGTGTCACTCGAAATAGAGAAGTCACCTGTTCAACTTATTATTGGACATTTAATATTGTTGCATTTTTTTGTTATACAGTGTATGTTTGTTGGGAAATATTATTTCTCATTGGATACGGATACCATTTGTCACCAGTTTGGTATTCTATTCTATGCTATACTGGACATTTCCTTGTGCATTTTAGCCTCAGGCGTTTGCATTTATATGTTTTTAGGATTTTATAGGGCTGCACTACACATTTTATAGGAATATTACTTGTTTATCCTCTCATGTAAATAAACTAAAAAATAGTGCAGCACAATAAAAAATGGCAATTATAATGCAATGACCCAATGTAGTGACAAAAAAAAGGTTGAAAATTCTTAAAGGATTATGAAGACACCCAGGAATTTGAGGGTCTAAAAACTTCAATACTCTACAAAACATCAATAAAGTGATATAATACAATACAAATAATTGTGATATTAAACATAAATCACAGAACAGTCCCTGTCCATACAATGCGTGTGTGTAATATTCTAGTAACCATCAATTATTCATATGGGAACCTCTTTCATTGTGATTACGAATACAAATCGTGCTCTACCAGTTAAAAGAAATGGCCGCTTGCCTCTAACCTAGACCCATACTCTCATATAGGTCTAATGCGCATTAAAAACAGACACCTCTGGTTGTTGGGATGCTGTTACTCCACCCGATTAGTCTGTCATGCAGGATCCTTCTCAATTCTCCCTTGATGTTATAGATTATACATATGGGGAAGCCCACCATAGTGTAGTATTAAAAAATAAATTTATTGGATAAAACAAGAGTGCCACTTACATAAATATGGCAAAGATAGGCTTATCTGCTTTCCAGATGCAGTACTCCCCACACTTTTGGTTCTGACACAACTGGAAATTAAGTCACCCGGCTCTGTCCTCCAACGCGTTGCATCACATACCACGTGACTTCCTCAGAGAACATCGAGGAAGAATTCAGAAGGATCCTGCATCTTGCATGTCTACTCATCTTGGAAGTCCCAAGTAACTAGAGCCATTTACAGTAAAGTATGGAGAGTTTACCACACCTGGTGCAATCATTTTGGTCATCAACTAGAGGAGCTTTCTTCTATTTTTGGAATTTTTACAAGATGTGCCGACAGGGGCCTTATAAGCACTCTCAAAGTGTAGATAGGTGCTTTAGGGGTGTTTTTGGAATGTTCAGTTTTACCAAGCCTTTAGTCATAAGGGATCTATCAGTAGTCCTGCAGGCACTAACAAAGGATCTGTCTGAACCTCTAGATAGTACATCCCTGAAGGTTATTACCTTGAAGACAGTTATTCTTATAGCAGTGATAGTGGCTCATGGCAGAATCAGCAAACTGCATGCTCTGTCTAATAGGGAATATTTGTTTTCCCAGATAGGGTTGTTTTAAAGACAGAGCCAGGGTTTCTTCTGTTTATCACACTTCTCAGGACATTGTCCTACCAACATTTTGCCCAAATCCATCAGGAGGTGAAGAGGAAAGTTTTCATACCTTGGACATGAGAAGAACAGTGTCGCGTTACCTGGAGCTAACCAAGGACTTCACAAGCTATTATAGAAGCTTATGTTTGGATGAATTTGTTTCCCTTTTTTTGGGAATCCATGCTCACTCTGTTAGGCCTCTTACAGCCACATCGGCGGAAAAGGCTGGTGCCACTCCAGTACAAATTTGCAAAGTGGGTAATGTGGTCAAGCATATCCACTTTTGTTCACCACTATAAATTGGATCAGGCCTTTTAGCAGAGGTCTTGCAAGCTGTTGTCCCTCCCTACAGTGGTAAGTTCTTGTTTATCCTCTCAGGTGCTGTCCTGAAAGATATTTTGGGAAAATTCAAGTTAGACTTAACGGTAACTTGTTTTCCAGTAGTCTTTCAGGACAGCAACAATTGCCTGCCCTTATGCTGTATTTTATTGTTGTGCCTATGTGTTTCAGCTTAGCCATAGGTACTGTACCATAACTCAGGATCTGTGAAGCATAATTTTAAAGTCCAAAAGTTGAAGTGTTTCCTGTGTCTGGTGTTCCTGCAATCTCTCAGGTGCTGTTCTGAAAGACTTCTGGAAAACAAGTTACAAATAAGTCTAACTTGAGTTTTATTGTCAAGGTGTATATACCACCCATTATTTGACTTGGCAAATGTAATCTTGTTTCATTGTGAATTTGTTTTATGTGGGTATAGGAATTCTTCACTGTTTTTGACAGCACGTATATAGATAAAAACACTGTACTGAAATGTATGACTTTGTGTTCAGATAAGCAGCGCTGTGTGGAGTTACAAGAAGAACTAAAGACCTCTCATGAAAAGTTCTGCTTTTGGCCAGACAGTCCTAGTCCAGGTAGGGCTTTTGGTGGAGTTTGTGTACATCTGTAACTTTCCAAGAAATACATGTGTCTCAATATATGATAACCTTTTTCAGTTATTCACTGTTTTCAAATGACCATCTCTTAGTTTGATGCCATTGTGGCAAATTTACTTTCGTAAGTTGATTTATATAATCACAGACCTTATTTAAATGTTGATTATCCTGGTGTATTTATGTGTGATGGTAAACTGAGCAATGGATAATAGAACTTTATGTATTGTATAGCCTTGGTTTATACCCAGTTTGCTTACCAGGGAGCTGTGATATTTTAAGGAGATTGTCCCTCTTATAAAAATTACAGCAAAGACACTTTTAAACATATTTACTGATGGTAATCTTCAAACAGGTACTTTTAAATAATTGCAAGCTTTTTATTTTTTTTCCTATCTTCTTTTTCTTTTCTTTCCCATTATTCGCACAGTGCATGGCTGTCTTTAACACAGGGCAAAAGGGTCAGCTGCCCTGGGCATTATTGGTGGGCCCAAAGTAGCTGCTCCTTAAACCTGCTTTTTTCAAGGTTTGCCGGTACTGGCCACAGATAGAGCAGTCAGCCACATTTACCTCCTCTAGTCCTGGCTGCAGCCTTGGCGGGACTGAGTAATCTGTCCTCTTCCGCTCCCCGCACAACTTCAATTCCACTGCGGGAAGCTGCCGCTGCTGTTGCGGCACGTGTGGGTAGTCTGGGGCTTTCTGCCTCCGTGCCGCCCCGCCCCCCTTCCCAAGGCCCTACTGTGACCGTGTCCGATCAATCCCATCAGCACATAGCAGGTGCCCCATGCTGCCCTGTGCTCACAGTGACAGACCTGACTAGCACAGCTGTGGTGCGCAGCTTAACCCCTACACTGCTGGCGAGCGCACAATGTTCCTGCACTCTGCACTGATTTACTATCCCAGGGTCTTTTCGTTCTAATGTCACCCTACAATAGGAGGGGCCCTGGACTAGATGTAGCTGTCTTTCTATGGAGGGGCCCCTGAATTGGAGATAGTAGTCTTTCTATGGAGGGCCTCCGGCCCCTGAACTGGAGGTGGCAGTCTCCCTATAGAGGGGTCCCTGGACTGGAGGTAGCAGCCTCTCCTATGTAGGGCATCTATAGAGAGATTGCTACCTCCAGTCCAGGGACACTTTCATTAAAAGATTGCAACCTCCAGTCCAGGGACACTTTCATTAAAAGATTGCAACCTCCAGTCCAGGGACACTTTCATTAAAAGATTGCAACCTCCAGTCCAGGGACACCTTCATTAAGAGATTGCTACCTCCAGTCCAGGGGCACCTTCATTAAGCGATTTCCACCTCCAGTCCAGGGGTCCCTCCATATGGAGACTGCCACGTTCAGTCAAGAGGCCCCTCCACAGAAAGATTGCCATGCTAACCACTAGCAACCGGTGAGTGGTGATGATGTGCAGTAACCTCTAGCTACCAGTTAGTGAACAGTAGTGATCTGCTGTTACCTCTAGCAAACAACCAGTGAGTAGTAATCATGTGCAGTAGCCTCTAGCAACCAATCAGTGAGTCGTAAGGATGTGCAGTAATCTTTATCAACCAATCAGTGAGTGGTAAGATTGTGCAGTAACTTTTAGCAACCAGTCAGAGAGTGTTAATGATATTCTGTAACCTCTGGTAACCAATCGCAATCACTGCGTGATCTGCTCAGAGCAGAGCAGGTGGAGAATGAAATTGCAAGGTGGGAGGTCGGGGCCCAAGAAAACGTTTGCTAGGATCCAATCAGTATTAAAGACGGCCCTGTCACAGTGGCCATTTTATACTAAGGGCAGATGAATCCATCTTCCTTTACTTCCAGGAACTCGGCCTGGAACTCTTTGTTTGCCTCCTGTAACAAGTGACAGGAAGTTCCCAGGATACAGATGTAAGGCCATGGTGATTTAAAGGTGAAATAACACTTGCCTTTGAAAAAGCTGGGCTATCAGAGCCCACGCAGCCAGTTCAGCGATCCAGGGATTTAAAATTCCCACTCTTCTGTGCAGCGCATCCAGGGCTTCATTGTTCAGGCGCTGACAGGAATCGCCAGAATTGCTTTGGTCCATCCTGGAAGCACTGCACATTTTAGCTTCCCCAGAGACAAGTACACTGAGGACCCGAGGGGCAGGGAGGTGAGATTGTAAAATGCAACTAATACTTTGTGAATGTAGGATGATTTCACATCAACATGCAGAACTGTATGCTACAGTGATATTATTTTTTTTTTTTGTGAAAGGGGGAAAAATCCACTTTAAGTATTGTTATTGCATGCTTCCTGACCTAATTCCTATTGTTCCAAATATAGTGATGTTCATTGTCTGAACCAGGAAGACTTGCACAATACTTAGATTCTACAAATTTTTGAAGGTTCACAAAAAACCTTCTGGCCCTTTTCATGGAAAGAGCCATGGTCAGGACTATGGCAAGGTCTTCAATTACAGGTGTGCTTAGCCCTTTATATTTTTACATCCTGGGTGTATCAGATTTACTAATCCTCTCTTTCTAATTGCAGATCACTTCTGGGCTCTTCTAGTATGTGAACCATCATCTGTGCTCAGTGACTTTATTGACCGTTTTCAAAACCTTTGTCGATTAGAGTTGCAGCTTCCAGCTCTCAAACAGGACGACTTGAAAAGTATGGTAAGTATCTTTTGCTTAGGACTACTTAAAGCTTAACTCCAGCCTTGAGAGAAAAAAAGGCCACTTTCACTGAAATACTCATTAGTGCTGTCAGCCTGCAGAAAGTTCTCCAAATCTAATAGCTGCCGACTTGATTCTGAGTTGAATGACACCCAACCACCACCCACAGCCTTGAAGCCTGACAGTTATGGCTACATTCACCAAAGCACTGTGAACTGCTGAATGCTTAGCCAATGGCTATTCTCCATTGCTAACTTTCTAACAATGCTATTTGCCTGAATGTTATGCTAATCCAACCTGACATAATAAGTATGCAATCGGTGAAAGTCTGCATTTCTGAAATTATATTAAGCCCATGATACTGAATGAGCAGTTGCAGTAGGTTAGCAGTGACGGCTTGATATGTTCTACCATGGGTTTTCTTAATAACATCATTCAATCTTCTTTTAAAATGACTGTGTTTCTAAACTGCTCTGTACACCCCTTTCCACGTTCCTTTTTTTTTTTTTCTTGCCTAAAAATTGAAAAGAGAGGTTTTCCACATGTATGACCATGTGATGGCCGCAGTGCAAACAGAACTTCCACATTCTTCAGTTTATAATTCACAGTTTTCTTCATACAGAAATGTGTGTGGGTGTGTCACATGGCTTTATAGTTACAAGGTTCAGCTTTGGCACTGCAAATATAGTTCAGATGGTCAACTTTTTTAAGGTTTCGGCCTTTAGTTTGCTGACAAATAAGACATATATGGGTCTTGGAGGCCAGGTTCCACTTCACTGCTTTGGGACTTAAAGAATATGTAAACCCAACATGTCATATTCCTGACATGTGACGTGTACCATGTACTCGTATGAAAAGAACCCTGTTCTCTTTGTATTGCTTCCTTTGTGTGAAATACCTTGTGTTCCTTCTAGTTCCTCTGCTTTCCTATTAAAAACTTACCACACTAAGCAGGAGAGCACAGCTTGGTGAGTTTTCTGGCTGTGCTGGGAGCTAATCCAATGAGCAGGCTTGTGCTGAAAACTCAGCTTGCTTTTCTGCAATGATTAGGCTTGTGCTAACAGCCCTCTGAACAGTCAATCACTGGGAAGATCAATGTACTGCTGTTTCTCCTCCCTGCGCTCGTGCTGCAGCTGAGAACAGTGGGAATGTGATCACTTATTGGGGAAAAAAAGGGGGGGGGGGGAAGGGTATTTTATAATGTTTTATTTACAGCCATGGCCGAAAATATTGGCACCTCTGCATTTCTGTCAAATAATGCACCACTTCACCCAAAAAATTGTTGCAATTACAAGTGTTTAGGCATTCTCATGTTTATTTCTTTTGTATTGGTATGACCCAGAAAAACTGGAGAAACAAAAAGCCAAATCTTACACATTCCACCCAAAACCCCAAAAATGGACTGGACAAAATTATTACCACACTCTATTTAATATTTGGCAGCACACCCCTTGGAAAAAAAAACTGAAATCAATCACTTCCTGTAACCATCAATGAGTCTCTTACACCTTTCTGCTGAAATTTTTTACCACTCTTCTTTTGCCAACTGCTTCAGGTCTCTCAGATTGTAAGGGTTCCTTTTCCCATCTGCTGTTTTGAGATCTCTCCACTGTTGCTCTATAGTTTTGAGATCTGGACTCATTGTTGGCCAGTTCAGTATTCTCCAGTGCTTTGTCTGAAACCATTTTTCAGTCCTTTTTGACATGTGCTTTGGGCCATTCTCCTGCTATAAGACCCATGACCTCTGATGGAGACCCAACTTTTTTGACACTGGGCCCTACATTGCACCCCAGAATTCTTTGGTAGCCTTCAGATTTCCTAATTCCATGCACACAGTCAAGACAACCAGTTCCTGAAGCAGCAAAGCAACCCCAAAACATCAGTGAACCTCTACCATGTTTGACTGTAGGGACTGTATTCTTTTCTATAAAGGCCTCATTGCTTTTTCTGAAAACAGTAGAATGATGGGTTTTACCAAAAAGCTGTAATTTTATTTAGTCTGTCCACAGCACATTCTCCCAAAAGGATTTTGGCTTCCTCAGCTAAGTTTTGGAAAACTCCAATCTGGCTTTTTTATGTTTCTTTGTCAGCAGTGGGGTCCTCCTGGGCCTCCTACCCTAGCGTCTCTTTTCATTCAGATTGCAACGCATGGTGCGAGCTGACACAGTTGTACCCAGTGCCTGAAGATCAGCTTGAATTTGTCTGGAAGTTGATCGAGGTTCTTTATCCACCATTCAAACAATCCTTCATTGCAGTCTTTGATTCATTTTTCACTTTTGGGCTACATGCAGGGAGATTAGCTACAGTGCCACGGGCTGTAAATTTCGTGACAATGTTGCACATAGTGGACGCAGAAACAATAATATCTCTGGAGATGGACTTGTAACCTTAAGATTGTCCATTCTTTTCATTAATGTTTGTTCTCAAATCCTCAGACAATTCTTTGCTGCTGTTTCTCTTCTCCATGCGGCAAACAGAGACAAACAGGTTGAGGTAGTGTTTCACCATTCTAACTGGTTGCCAGTGTGGTTTCTATATTGCCAGCACCTGTTAATTGATACAGGTGAGTTTAATTACAAGTTACAGGAGCATCACAAACTTGGAATTCAGTTATTTCTTACAATTTAGAGAAGGTGCCAATCATTTTGTCCAATCCATTTTTGGGGTTTTACAAACAAAATAAATGAGCATGAGAATGCCTAAACATTTTGTAATTTCAACAAGCAAAGTGGTGCATTATCTGAGAGAAATGCAGGGGTGCCAATATTCTTGGCCATGACTGTGTGTGTGTGTGTGTGTGTGTGTGTGTGTGTGTGTGTGTGTATATATATATATATATATATATATATGTCTACACACCCCTGTTAAAATGTCAGGAGGTTTCTGTGATATAAGAAAATGAGACAAAGACAAATAATTTCAGAAATTTTTCCACCTTTTAATGTGACCTATAAACTGTACAACGCAATTGAGCAATCTGAAATCTTTGGGGGAAGTAAACATAAAAAGCTAAAATTAATGTGGTTGCATAAGTGTGCACACCCTCTTATAACTGGGGATGTAGCTGTGTTCAGAATTAAGCAATCACATTCAAAATCATGTTAAATAGGAGTCGGTACACACCTACCATCATTTAAAGTGCCTCTGATTAACCCCAAATAAAGTTCAGCTGTTCTAGTAGGTCTTCCCTGACATTTTCTTAGTCGCATCCTACAGCAAAAGCCACGGTCCGCATAGAGCTTCCAAAGCATCAGAGGGATCTCACTGTTAAAAGGTATCAGTAAGGAGAAGGGTACAAAAGAATTTCCAAGGCATTAGACATACCATGGAACACAGTGAAGACAGCCATCAAGTAGAGAAAATATGGCACAACAGTGACATTACCAAGAACTGGATGTCTCTCCAAAATTGATGAAAAGACGAGAAGAAAACTGGTCTGGGAGGCTGCCAAGAGGCCTACAGCAACATTAAAGGAGTTGCAGGAATATCTGGTAAGTACTGGCTGTGTGGTACATGTGACAACAATCTCCCATAGTCTTCATATGTCTGGGCTATGGGGTAGAGTGCCAAGACGGAAGCCTTTTCTTAAGAAGAAAAATATCCAAGCCCAGCTAAATTTTTCAAAAACACATCTGAAGTCTCCCAAAAGCATGTGAGAAATTGTGTTATGGTCTGATGAAACCAAGGTTGAACTTTTTGGCCATAATTCCAAAAGGTATGTTTGATGCAAAAACAACACTGCACATCACCAAAAGAACACCATACCCACAGTGAAGCATGGTGGTGGCAGCATCATGCTTTGGGGCTGTTTTTCTTCAGCTGGAACTGGGGCCTTAGTCAAGGTAGAAAGAATTATGAACAGTTCCATATACCAATCAATATTGGCACAAAACCTTCAGGCTTCTGCTAGAGAGCTGAACATGAAGAGGAGCTTCATCTTTCAGCATATCAATGACCCAAAGCATACATCCAAATCAACAAAGGAATGGCTTCACCAGAAGAAGATTAAAGTTTTGGAATGGCCCAGCCGGAGCCCAGACCTGAATCCGATCAAAAATCTGTGGAGTGATCTGAAGAGGGCTGTGCACAGGAGATGCCCTCGCAAGCTGACAGATTTGGAGTGTTTTTTCAAGGAAGAGTGGGCAAATATTGCCAAGTCAAGATGTGGCGTGGTGATAGACTAATACCCAAAAAGACTGAGTGATGTAAAAAAATCAAAAGATGCTTCAACAAAGTATTAGTTTAAGGGTGTGCACACTTATGCAACTATATTATTTTAGTTTCTTATTTTTACTTCCCTCCACCTAAAAGATTTCAGTTTGTTGTTCGACTGAGTTTTACAGTTTATAGGTTACATTAAAGGTGGAAAATGTTCTGAAATGATTTATCTGTCTCATTTTTTTACATCACAGAAACCTGACATTTTAACAGGGGTGTCTATGTGTGTGTGTGTGTGTGTTTGTTTGTGTTGTTTTATATATATATATATATATATATATATATATATATATATATATATATATATATATATATATATATATATATATATATTTACACACACAAATGTTTTGCCTTTTATCTCTAGTTTAAACCAAATGAGTTGTTTTACAAGGTACGGGTTTACATATACATTAACATTTAACCCCTTTACGCCGGCGCCTCCCGGCTTCTGGAACCCTTAAAGGGGTTTAGGGTCATGTGATCGCCATGACGCGCCGTCACGGCGGTCACATGATCGGGAAAGGTCCCGATCAAAAGAGAAGATCGGGACCTTTCCGTGAGTACCGGACATGTGTGCTGGGAGCGCGCAGGGTGCATGCTCTCGGCATTTGCGGCCTCTCGGCGTCTAGGCCGAGATGCCGGGAGGCCTCACATTTGTGTGCGGTCGGCGTAAAGAGATTAAAATAGAAAAGAACAAGGCACACTTTGAGGATCATGCCAGAGGCTGCTAAATGTATCTTTAAATGGTGTGTTCCTATGTCTGTTTGTCTTATGCAAAC